AAATGTTACCCACTAAAGGAGCAAATTCCTCGCTCACCTGAAGAAAGTCCAAGAAAATGTATGGAACCTGAAGGTCTGTTACCTTATTCACAAGAGTCAGGTGATTCCAGTCAATTCTGTAGCGCCATGCTGTCTTTAGTTCTTATTCATTATCTTCCTCTCATGTAGCCATAATCCGATAGGTCGGCTCCTTTCAATTTTCCAACATTTCTAATTTCGCTCACGGGTGTTACATGCCTCGCCCATCTTTCACTTCGCGCTTTGGATATCCGAATACACATTTGGTGAAGAAAACGAGTCACGAGTAGATTCTAAAGGGTTCTGACGATGGTGTATAGTATTATTTTTATTATTAGAGGGGGTGGGTTTCCCCATGCACTTAGACCAGTTATTGGTCCATTGTGCGTCCCCCTTTAATTTCTACTGTCGCCATACCCTACCGGTACTGGTGCGTGCTATCAGCCCCGTTCAGCCAACGAGGTCGGCCGTCGGTACCTGATATTTCCGCTATCTACCAGAGGCATTGGAAACTACTTGGGCGGGAAACTTGTTACCTAATTTTTCTCAGAGGTCTCCTAGAGACATGAGGATCTTTTACATGCCGTATATCTACGACACGGGACCCACGGCTTAAAGTCCCTCCCGAAGGACTTGTTCCCTGAATTTTTTCGCCCTTAAAAATTCCACGACGTTGAGTCATGGGGTGGGAACGTTTCCCCTAGACTACGGAGGCCGCTGTATATAGTATTACAGGGTTTTCGGGCTTTGTCCATCGTCTGGTATTCTAGAGACTAGAAAACAACGTTTCGGAAACTGGGTCTATTTCCGTCCTCAGGCGATGGAGAGAGGGGGGGTACTCTGTTGGGTCCCTTAGAAACAGCTAACCGCAGTCACGAGACTCCTCGTTATGAAGTTCTCCCATTCCTGTTGTTTCCTCTCAGGGTAAATGTAAAAGTGTCCCTGTGCTTAATTAATTAAGAACAGTGCCATCCATGAAGACGTACTGGGAAGTGGAGGTATAGCTCCACCATTCTTGACCTCGATGCTAGTTGGAAGTGAGTGATTAGCTTTAGGCCGCTGCCGCTTTACCCGCAGGGAGAGAGCCTCCGGTTCCCATTGGACAGAAGGATTTCCTCTATAGTTAGGTTCACATATTCTCTTTAGGACTTTGTTTTGCCTTACTGTAAGGCGATAAGCCAAGTTTCTTACCAATGTAAAGCAGGTAAGTTTATACTATTGTTTATATTAATGTACATGTTTTCAGATACAAGAGGCAAAATAAGAGCTTCAGAAATGAATGAAATTTATCTGTTCGTAACTTATTCATGAATGTAATTTTACGAGACATGTGGATATGTTGGAGGTTACTATAAAAGGTAACTGTCTTACAGGTTTCGACGCCATGTAATCTGGCATAAATTTGCAACATTTCCGTCCCCATTTGAAGTGTAGAAAAGTACCACTTCCTAGCAGACTACGTTGGGCACAACCAAGTAGCGAGTAATTTCAGTGCAATTTTTATTTATTTCTCTGATTAAGAAATATTTACACGAAGAGTCTGTTGAGATTGGCCGCCTCTGTAGTCTAGTAGTCAGAGTTCCTGGCTACAGATCCAAAGGTCCCAGGTTCGATTCCCGACGCTACCAGATTTTCTGAGAAGTAGTGGGTCTGGAACAGGGTCCACTCAGCCTCGTGAGCATAACTGAGGAGCTGTTTCAAGGAAATAGCGACTCCGGTCTAGAAAACCGAGATTAACGGCCGTGGGAATCCGTTGCGCTGACCACGCGACACCCTCTATCCGCAAAAGTTGGCACTAACTTCGCCGACAAGCGGCGGTCGCTCGGTCGGTATAGTTTGCTTGCGGACTAAAAGCCACAAAGTTTATTGAGATTTAAGGTTCCTGCAGAGGTGTGTATTAAATCTGCGGTCTTGTGGGATGTGACACCGCGTAGCTTGGTAGAATTTTAGCAACAGTAGGTTCGGAGAAACCTGCTGCATCCATTTTTTGGGGATGGCAGATGTTCCCTGAAAATGGTGGCAGCTGCTTTGTCGGAAACGTTCGTGCCTTTCTACATAACTACACAGCATCTAGTTTGTTTATTTACTTATTCATTTATATTTTGCCTAACAACATTGCCCAAAGTACAGACTCTGGACCCTTAGCGTTGAATGATTGCGTTAGTGATGAGTAATGGATTAGAAAGCGCGTGGAAGGGAGCGGTCGTCCCTAGCCCGGCATTTGGTTGGAGGGACTGAGAATACCATAGAAACCCTTCAGAATAGCCAATGTCCCAGCCGAGATTTGAACCGGGCACATACGTGCTACGAAGTAGTAATGTTAACCTTCGACCAACGTGTTCGATGCCATAATCATGAAGTTTGGAGTACGCATACTTTTCAAGTACGTTCCTTGCAATTTTCCGTCCCTTGTCAACCTTTATTTTCATTTACTGCAATTGCATTTACGTCTAATCGAAACTGTAGAACACGCTGATAAAGTTTCGCTTGTTGTTCCCCAAACATGCAGAGTGATTGATGTTTATTTTATTCGTAAAGCTATCCCTGTAACAGGCCGTGGCGGCCCATAAGGGTGTGAGAGGTGGAGGACACCACATTTTCTACACAATCAGCTCACAGATGTCGGTGAGGTTGTCAGCCTTACACGCCGCCCACCCGTGATCCCCAGAACGACTCCTGGTTCTCATTTCTGTTAGAGGCTTAGTCGCCCAGGGCCATAGTGCGGCTGGAAGGATTGGGTCAATTGAAAAATTCAGTGACCTCATCGGGCATCGAACCCGCGATCTTCCTGCTTGTAGCATAGTGCCTCGACCAATTATGCTACTGCGTGCTCCCCAGTTTTATTCGTATTGTTGCAATTTTTGGTGTTGTCACTGAGCGAATATAGCCAGACATGAAGCACGATTCTCCACCGTTTTATGTTCGTTGCCAGGCAAAGTGTATGTTGCATAGAGGAAGGTGAGACATTTGCCGAGGTTGCAGAAAAAATGGTAAGCGATTTGTTTTGAAAGTTCTGTATGCCCCATCTCTAGTCGTATAATAGTCTGGGGCATGATTTTTACCACTAGGGCCCTGTAAGTCCCGTTTGTAAGGTTCCAGTCCACTCAACTTGCGCCTGTGAATTAAAAGAATGAGAGTGTTTATCCATTGTTCAGTTGTTTTTACGTTGATATCCGCACGCCACTGACACTTCGCCCCTCTCCGGAATAGCGACTACAGAATCCTGCACACAGCTAACTGCGCGTCACTAATTGGGGTCTTGTGTGCTACATCGCTCTTGGACTGGGGGGGGGGCAGCCGATCAACAAGTGATTTCTCTCTCAAATGCTCTCTTTCTTTCAGCTTCTTTTCATCCCCTACTACTTCCCGCATCTTTTCTTCTTTTTCGCTCTATGGCTATGTATCTTAATCCTCTTTCAGTGTCTCCCCAACTTGTTCGTCGTGACTTGGCGTAAAGAAGTGGTGGGAATTGAGAAGTGCCGTGTGATTGGCGTGCCCTCGCGCCGTGCACCGTACAGATAATTTAATGAAAAATGCTGTTTTACCTCTGTTGTGATCACTTCAGAGTAACGCAAGATCTGCATTACTGTTGGTTAATATACATACATTGTGGAAGACAAGCGTACAAGACCTCAAATTTTCGGATTATTCCTCGTACGTTATTATAAATATATGTTATCTACATATTTTTCTCCTTTATAATGGAATGCCTCTATGCAGACTTTCATATATTCCGCCTACTTTGAAATTACATATGGAATAAGTTAGGTCCCTGCATGCGTATTACTTTACGGACTCAATACTAATTTCGCTTACGTATTACCGTACAACTTACTATGTAGCTACAGAAGTCAGCATAGTTTTCTAAGCAATTATTCTACTCCACCCTCTGTCCAATTATATAAAGTANCCCCCCCCCCCCATCACAATAAGAATGTATGGGCGGGGGCATCTATCATAGAAACCCGCCCGAAGGTAACATGAGCGATGCAAATTACAATAAGCGAGCTGTACAGTAATTACACTTTTGGAAAAAATATTATCCAGCTAGCCAGAGCCAGAAAGAGTGGATTGAGATGGACGACTTAATATTATAATAATCAGCAATAAGGCTGTCGTGAATCATTGGCTTGACCTTGCTTCTTCTCATAAGAACTTTTCCTTTGTGGCTCAGTCTGCCAGCCTCCCCGCGTACATGCAGTGCTCCTCCCTTAGGATTATTATAATAATAATATACATTTTGTTGCCCAAGAAGTACGCATAACCTTTCTGTCTGTTTCTGAGAGCTGGGCGATGTTGTCGGTGTAAAAGCTGACCCGACCACGGGGATTTAGTTTTATATTTCTGATGTAATTGTCACTCGTAGTAGCCGCTTGGCCGACACAGGACCTGTGGTTCATTTACCCACTGTGCCATGAGGGCATGGGTTTTCAATATTTTCTGATTCAGGGAACTGTAAAAAAAGCCGCGGTCTTCTCGAAGACCGGCACATTAGCTGTCTGTTTCACACTGTACCGTGCACATAATAGTCTATGTGTATAGTCACAGGCCTCCCCGAATTCATCATGGGCCCATAGTTTTACCCTGCAGGCATAGAGACGCGTAGATTGACAAAGAACGCACGTGGAAATTGTATCGTCCATTGGACTACGTCTTTCTGCCTTTGTTAGTGAAGTGCTACAGTTCTGTTGATATAATTCCTAGTAATATTTGTCATGATGAGGTCAGTCGTTAGCATAACATGCCTCGCTGCTTAAGGTTCTCGCAGTTTGAGAGTTGCTGCTTCCGACGTGAAGGCTCGATATTACGTGAAGATTATTCCTGTCAATTCATGTTGTCTGAGTGTCAGAATGGCACATACGACTCGCTCTTAAGACATTTGTTTTCGACAGACAAGAGAGTGGACAATTTCTAGCGTCAGTAAGCACGAATAATTTTTATTCCTTTGGAAAACTTAGTAAATAACCCCTTTCTTCTTTCAGACACTTGACTTCCAGACATTAACAACTGGATGAACGCATTCAGGAGAGACACATAAGCATCAGGCGACGTCTTGTGAATAAGCGTAAGTTTTATTGCAATACTTTTATTCGACATAGGCCAGCATGCGTTCCCAGGCATGTATTAATGGAATAAAGAAACTTCGCTACCTGATATTTCCACCCGTTCTTTATGCATGAGATAAGAATTACATTTATAATTAAATGAAATTTAATAAAACAATTTGGAGATGATTGAAGCGGTTGATAATTTATTTTCACGTCGGACACACAGACGATGAAATCTTTATGTTCGATAGTGTCGGGTCTCATTTTGTTGGAACACATCACTTGCAGGCGACTGCGTTTCTCATCTTCCTTTCACAGGAATTCTTTGCATTCAAGCTTAAAGTGAACACACAAACAGGGATAAATGTCTGCAACTATGTTTTATCGTGGGCTGGGACTAAGTCCCTTGTACTGCTCCCACTTTTGGCCTATTGTACCAGCCCCAGATGATAGGTGAGGGTGATTGTGGAGCAGTTGATGGAATGAAGATTGGCAGGGGAAACCTAAGTACTCGGAGAAAACCTGCCCCAACGCCACTTTGTCCACCACAAATTCCACTTGACCAGACCCGCGATCGAACCTGGACCACCGCGGTGGGAAGCTTGAGCTATGGCGCGGCCCTTTAATGTAAATGCTGTGTGAATTATGTGTTGGTCTGTACCATCCACTGCAACCTCTCCTTCGTAACAAATGTATATTATACTGTGTATCTACCGAAGATCAAGGCATATCTGTTTCTCGGTACAATCTTTACGGGCATACCTCCATATTCGGGAAGAATGTGTTCTGTGTTTACAAATAGAAAAATTCGTGAACTCTGATACCTACGTTGGCCTGTGCATGTAGTGCCTTCTCCCTTAAGGAATGCTTATTTTTCCCCGTTTTAACAGCCTTTACTTCTTCCATTTACATTTGTAACAAAAAAAAAGCTCCATGGCATGTAGTCCCCAACCGAGCGACCGCCGCTTCTCGGCGAAGTTATTGCCAACTTTGACTGCCTCTGTGGTCTAGTGGTCGGAGTCCCTGGCTACAGATCTTGAGGTCCCGGGCTCAATTCCCGGCCCTACCAGATTTTCTGGGAAGCAGTGGGTTTGGAACGGGGTCCATTCAATATCATGAGGATAATTGAGGAGCTGTTCCAAGGAAATAGCGGCTCCGGTCTAGAAAACCGAAATTAACGGCCGTGGGATTCGTTGCGCCGACCACGTCACACCCTCTATCCGCAAAAGTTGTCACATTTGGTAACATTTACCTTTATTTTGGGAGATATGGGTGCACGGAAAGTAGGAATCAGATGTCCTAAATTGGTGAAATGTAGCGCGTACAAACGGCGAGGTGGACCGGGACATACGAACAACGTACTTGGTGGGATGAGGCCTCGAGAAAGGAGAAACCTCTGACAGTTCATTCACTGTCACCCTCACGTTCTCTGCTGTGTAGCGTAACATTTGTGTCATAAATAATTAACATATGCCCTGTAAAAATGTTGATGTTATTGAATGTTATCAGTGTAATCTCTCTAGAAACTAAGTTTCCTGACCTTTCAGTGGGTTCCTCAGAATTATGCGGGCCGTCAACGAGTTCTTTCGATCCCTTGGATCTCTTTGTCGGATCAGTTGCTTGAATATCGTTGTCAGGACAGTGTGAATTACGCTGATGAAGTTATCATAATAAGATGCTAATGAATTTTGAAATCCTACCTATAATCACGAATTATCTGCACTGTAGGAGGAAGCTAACAGTTTAATGCAGAATATTCTGTAATTTATGTGCTTGCTAGCCATTAGTAGACATTTGTGTGACGAGTTTCAGTTCCCGGAATGCGTGTTTGGATTTTTCATTTTGGTATCACGTCCAGAAAGGCTGTAGGATTCGACTGGGGCCCTGTCCTGTGGCTCCTCACTCGCCTTAGTCCGGAGACAGACCTGTTTCGGTTGACCACTGATCTCTGCCTTTTGTACACCTACGTGGTTAGGTGACTTCTCATAGACCTTTGATTTTCCAAATAAGCTACGAAGGGACAAGCAACAAGAGACTTGAGGAGTTTCATATCTTTAATTTCCATCAGATATTATTACGGCCAACAAATCAAGGAGGATGAGATGGATGGAACATGCAGCATATGTGGGAAAGGTGAGAAAGTCTGAAAACCAGCAATTGGGAGAACTGAGCGTAGATGGGTGAATAATATTGAAGTTCAGCTTACAGGAATAGGCCAAAGATTATTGATTGAAGTCTTTTTGTTTAGAGTAAGGTCAGAGGCAAGCTTTTGGGGAACCTTCGGGTCCATAGAAGGTTCTTTATCAGGTCAACGACTGTTAGCTTGTTAGGAGAGACTGCTGGATGGAGTTTATTATGTACGATGCGTTTGAAGTCTGAATCAGGTGGGAACTGCATGTTATTCTCTTTGCATACTTAGAGCCATAACCATAGCTTAGCCATAACTTAGAGTCATAACCAATGCCTGGCTCAGAGTTCTTCTGTTTTGTCTATTTATGTGGAGCGCGCAGTTTGACTCATTCTTGCCGTTGGCGTCACATATGGCCGGTCTTAGTGCCCGGGGCCCATATATTGACTGACCGATTGAAGTGGGGTGTTTGAAACTTGCTTCAAGGAGATGAGCATGACGAGTTCTGTTAGAGGGGACGGGCAAGCAATTGTATCCTTTGGATTTTCCTCTCGTAACAGCAGGATATAATGTGAATATATAAGAGGGCCCTTTGTATCCGTTCCCTGATCTGTATCCTTATCCTCCCTCTGTATGAATTTTTTCTCTCACAAGAGGTAACCGTAATTGCACTCGCTTATGGTTGACCGAACACAGCCAGTATAGGCCTACTTATATCGAAAAGTCACACATTTGTCTTTACGCTGGTGGAGTCATGGTTCCCTGTAATCCTGTAGCCAGTTAGCTCAGGCGGAGATGATTATGACGTGTTTTTCGCGAGGTACCTGTTCAGTGTGACTGCTTTTATGACTGTCGTCAGTCTCTGTCCAAGAAAATTGCGGCTCATAGGGGCCTCCCGTCCAACTCTTTCCCACCTCCTCGGCACGTAATTGTCCTCACCTCATATGTGCTGCTGCATAGTGTACTGCGACAGTAAGTTTGTCATAGATTTCGTTAACTGCTACCGGACTACACGATGGCACGTCACGGGCTGTATACTTGTATATCACCTTTACAACGAAACCCGTATACCATGGGGTCATCGGTTATTTAACGACGCTTTCAGTATCGAATCTATATATAGTGTCAGATGGTAGGATAATAGTGTGGCATACAGACCCGTTGCTAGACAACGACCGCGAAACAAACTACGATACAACGGTAATTGCTAGGCAACAGTACTGGAGTTGTTGCTAGGCAGTTGTCCGCGCTCAAAAAGTACGGTTGGAAGCTGTGCTTTCTGTGTGGTCCACTTCGAAGCTATATCACTTCGACCGAGTTGAATTAGTTGAGTGAGTGAATGAGTGAGTTAGTTAGTTAGTTAGTTAGTTAGTTAGTTAGCGGCCTCCGTAGTCTAGAGGTAACGTTCCCACCTCATGACTCGTAGTACGCGGGTTCAAATATCCGGTGGAGGTCGTCGAATTTTTAAGGGCGGAAAAATTCAGGGAACAAGTCCTCCGGGAGGGACTTTAAGCCGTGGGTCCCGTGTCGTAGCTTTACGGCACGTAAAAGAACCTCATACCTCCAAAGAAAGTCACTGAGCAAAATTGCGGACGTTTGCCGCCCAACAGCAGTCACTAATACCTCCGGTAGATGGGGGAAGCATTATAGATACTTCTCAGCTAGTAGAGCCGGTCTCGCTGGCTGGGCGGGACTGATGGTATGCACCAATACCGGTAGGATATAGAGGCTGGTAGAAATCATAGAGGGAAGCACAACGGACCACTATAGGTCTAAGTGCATGGGGAAACCCACCCTCTCTAATAACTAACTAACTAACTAGTTAGTTAGTTAGAGGACTGCTGCGGTTCAGTCCTTATGAGCTGCTGTGAGAAGCCGGTAGCTGAGGCATGGTGATAGTTCGGGTACCCAGAGGGAGGGGAACGTCCCCAGTTGGAAGGCGTTACGAGACGACCGGTGAAGACACAGCAGACTGAGAAGGCTTAGTACGTACTGTAGTGAACTGCAGAGTGTGAATTAGCGATATCGCTATAGTTACTTGTAGTTAGAATGGTAAGTGTTCAATAAATCCAATCTCCAATCCATAGGTCGTCTGTAGTCACTTAGTCACGTGGCACCTGGTGTCAGAAGTGGTTGGCTTGGAGCTATATCGCCACAGTATGGAGATGGAACAAATGATAGTGCGCCTGTTGGCTGAAATAAATGAAATTAACAGTGACGTGTAACGAATTTTGAAGGGTCGGTTGTGGTTTCATCTCGGCATTATCGTTCCTATTCCGATTTTCCGATTAAAATTTTGCGTAAAACTGAAAATCCGCTCAGTAAAACAAAAAAAAAACCGCTCAGTAAAAGTGAAAAATCCGCTCGGAAAAACTGAAAAACTTGCTCAGTGAAGCTTGAAAAGCCGCACGCTAAAAATGAAACTTCCACTCGATAAAACTGAAAAATCCGCTCAATAAAGCTGAAAATGCCGCTCAGTAAAAGTGAAAAATCCTCTCGGTAAAACTGAAAATCCGCTCAGTAAAAGTGAAAAATTCTCTCGGTAAAACTGAAAATCCGCCCAGTAAAAGTGAAAAATCCGCTCGGAAAAACTGAAAAACTTGCTCAGTGAAGCTTGAAAAGCCGCACGCTAAAAATGAAACTGTCGCTCGGTAAAACTGAAAAATCCGCTCAATAAAGCTGAAAATGCCGCTCGTTAAAACTGACAGATCTGCTCGGTATAACTGAAATATCTAGGTACGTACGAACTGAATTTGTATGTATTGCTTGTGAGTAATTAAGTCTTTAAAAGAGTTACGGAGCAGTGGTTACTGTGTATACCACAGGTATTTTTATACGTGGTGAACCAATTGTTTGTTATTGGAGTAGTTTCCGAATATCTTCAGTTGTCCCCGTCTAATA